TAGGTTGGAAATTGTTCTTTAGATTTTGAAGGTATTGCTTCACCGTCTTCTAGCTTTCTAAGTTGCTACTGAGATATGTGATGGCATCAAAATGCCAAACTCCAAATTTTTGGTATACGGCTCCTCCTTTTTTTCTCTCTCTGGAAACTGTTAGGAACTTCTTTTCATCCTTGGTGTAGTAAAATTTCAAAACAATATGCCTTGGTTTGGGTCATTTTTCAAGTGGGCTTATTTTTTTTATTGGAGTATAATTAATGTACAGTGTTATCTTTATTTCAGGTGTATAATATAATGATTCAACAATTCTATACATTATTCAGTGCTCATCAAGATAAGTGAACCCTTAATCACCTTTATCTATTTCACACCCTGCCCTCTGGGAAACCACCAGTTTGTTCTCTGTATTTAAGAGTATGTTGTTTTGTTTGTCTGTTTTGTCTTTTTTTGTTCATTTGTTTTGTTTCTTAAATTCCACATATGAGTGAAATGATGGTTTTTGTCTTTCTCTGACTTATTTCACTTATTATAATACCCTCTAGGTCCATCCATGTTATCGCAAATGGCAAGATCTCATTCTTTTTTATGGCTGGGTAATATTCCAGTGTGTGTGTGTGTGTGTGTGTATGTGTGTGTGTGTGTGTGTGTGTGTGTATCTTTACGCATTCATCTATGGATGGACACTTGGGTTGCTTCCATATATTGCCTAGTGTAAATTATGCTGCAATAAACATATGGGCACATATGAAACATATATCGTTTCAAAACAGTGTTTTCATTTTCTTTGGGCAAATACCTAGCAGTAAAATTACTAGATCATATGGTAATTCTATTTTTAATTTTTTGAGGAAACTCCATACTGTTTTCCACAGTAACTGCACCAATTTACATTCCCACCAACAGTGCATGTGGGTTCCTTCTACTCCACATCCTTACTAACACTTGTTATTGCTTGTCTTCCTGATTTCAGCCATTCTGACAGGCATAAGATTATATCTGATTGTGGCTTTGATTTGCATTTCCCTGATTAGTGATGTTGAGCATCTTTTCACGGGTCTGTTGGCCATCTCTATGTTTTCTTTGGACAAATGTCTATTCAGGTTCTCTGCCCATTTTTAATCAGATTTTTTTGTTTGTTTTTGTTTTTGGTATTGTGTTTTATAAGGTCTTCATATATTTTGGATATTAACCCCTTATCAGATATATCATTTGCAAATATTTTCTCCCATTCAGGAGATTGCCATTTTGTTTTGTTGATGGTTTCCTTCCCTGTGCATAAGCTTTATTCTGGTGTACTCCCATTAGTTTATTTTTCCTATTGTTTTCCTTGCCTAACGAGACATATCTAGAAGAATGTTTCTATGACTAATGTCAAAGAGATTATTGCCTATGTTATGATAGGCATAATCTATGATAATAGATTAGGTTTTAATCTATTTTGAGTTTATTTTTACATGTGGTGTAAGAAAGTGGTCCAGTTTCATTTTTTTGCATGTAGCTGTCCAGTATTCCCTACCGCATTTATTGAAGAGGTTGTTTTTCCCCATTGTATATTCTTGCCTCTTGTTGTAGTACAATTGACCATTCAAATGTGAGTTTATTTCTAGGCTCTCTTTCTGTTCCATTGATCTATGTGCCTATTTCTGTGCCAGCACAATACTGTTTTGATTGCTATAGCTTTGTAGTAGTGGGCTTTTTAAATCAAGAGAAATGGATTCTTCATTATTGACACATTTTCTTCTATTAGGTTTTTTATATTTTCCTTTCCACTATTTTATCTGTTTTCTCTTTCTAGTTCTATTCTTGAGGTATTGGGTTTCACGAACTGAATCTTTAATATTTTTTTAAAAAATGCTTATATCAGTTTCTATTTCTTTGTCTTTTTTTCTTGCATTTTCTCAGGTGATGTCCTATACGTCATCTTTAAGATTTTCTTCTTTTTCTTTTTTAAGTTTATGTATTTATTTTGAGAGAGGGAAAGAGTGAGCAGGGGAGGGGCAGAGAGAGAGAGAGAGAGAGAGAGAGAGAGAATCCCAAGAAGGTTCCACCCTCTCAGCTTGGAGCCCCATGTGGGGCTTGATATAATGAGGTGTGAGATCATGACCTGAGCTTAAATTAAGAGTCAGAGACTTAATGGACTGAGCCACCCAAATGCCCCTGTTGTTGTTGTTGTTGTTGTTGTTATTGTTTTACGGGTTAACATATTTTTAGTTTCCAAGAAGTTACTTCTTGTTCTTTGTTGGTTCTTTTTTTTTTTTTTCCTTTTTCATTCTATCCTTGTTTTATTCACTAAAGAGTGAATGACTAAAAAGCTGATTGGAAGTACTGAATGAAAGACTTGAACACTGGTGGGCTTCACTAGTGACTGAGTGATCAGGTGGCTAGCTCCCCCCACTTTTTTTTTAATTACAGCTACAGTATCTGTAGTTATTTTCTCTGGGGACAGTTGATTCTAAAAAGAAATATTTTTTTTTATTTCTTTGACAACATAATTCTAGCTTCCAAATTTCTGGAATTAAGGGCAAATGGGGCTGAGGGGGAAGAGATCCGTTATTCAGTGTGCAGATTCTGAGTTCTTGTTTTCAATATGGCACATCACCCTTACCCTCCTCTGTGAACAGTATCCCTGTATTTTGAGCATCTCTGGCTCAGTTTCTTCATAGAATAAACTTCTAGTCTCTCGCAGGAGTCAGGGAGTCTACTCAAGATAAGGGTAGGAATCTGGGTCTCTAAATAATATTTTTAATTAAAGATGATTTCAGCTCCTCCTTATCCCCTTCCTCTGAGGTTTCTGGTATCCTACATTCTTGAAATATTCTGGGATCCTGTGAGAGCAAATTGACTTGCTTCCTGATAGTCACTCCCTATCCTCATGCTTTTAAGTTTGATCCTCCTCTTTTCCATTCAATCCTTTACTATTTTTCTTTAATCTGCCTTCTGCCTTCATATATAGTAGTCCAAGTTACAGAATCTTGAATACAGGTTCATCACAGATGGAGTATGATTCTTCTGGTTTTTGTTCTCCTTGTTATTTGGAAGTCTGATCTTTCTTGGGGAGAAGGGGGTTGAAATACTTCTATACACTCTCTTGGCCTGGGAAATCCTCCACTGAAAAATGATTTTTTAAAATTGTGTTTGCAGAATATATAGTTCCTCAAGTTCCTTTTCTTTTAAAACAAGGATTACATAAATTACTCATCAAAAGTGTTAGTGAATTACATTGTATAATTGCATGTGCATCTAATTGTACACTAACATATATAACTAGAAACGAGCTTGTAATTAAGCACTCAGCACTGATAAATCCTAAACTATAATATTAAAATTGTTATGGGTATGATAGATAAACTGTTTTGAGATATAGATATATATATTGGCAATATAGAAAATATTCACCAATACTCTTAGAAAAAGTATCTATCACTTGGTTCAGAAGACTCTGTTACTATTGGAATTAGTCAGTTAAAACATTTTGGTGGGAAAGTTAGTTAGCACTGACACAGTTTTTGTTTTTTATGCAGTGTGTTTTTCCATAGTCATGGTCCTTTCTGTAATACTGTTTGAGAGCATGCATATTAATACACATGGTAAATTAGGTCTTAAAAAACATAATCTTGTAAAGTAAGTTTTTACAATAATGCAGATTATTTATCCTGCATCAAACAAAAAGGCAATAATAAGCCTCTTAAAAAAAAAGCCTTGAGGTACCTATATGGCTATTGATTGAGTGCCTGACTCTTGATTTCGGCTCAGGTCAAGATCTCACAGTTGGCTGGATTGAGCCCTGTGATGGCTCTGTGCTGACAGCACGGAGCCTGCTTGGGATTCTCTGTCTCCCTATCGCTCTCTCTCTGACCCTCCCCTATGCACGTGTACACGCATGCTCTCTCTTTCAAAATAAATAAATAAACTTTTTTTAAAACCTTTAAAAGGTCTGCTTTTGAAGCAATTTTTGTAAGTTTCCCTTTAAGGGATGGTAATCAATACATATCTTAGTTTGGGTTGTTATGGAAAAAAAAAATCACCCTACAGTGGGTAGTTTAAACAGCAAACATTTATCTCTCACAGCTCTGGAGGTTGAGAAGTCCAAGATCAGGGTGCTGGCAGATCTAATGTCTGGTGAGGGGTCCCTTCCTGGTTTGCAGGTAGAGAGCTGGAGAGGAAGCAAACTCTCTTTTCCCAGGGGGTACTAATTCCATTCAAGAGGTCTCCACCTTTATGACCTAATTACCTCCCAAAGGCCCACTTCCTAATACCATCACGTTAAAGGTTAGGAATTTAACATATGAAGCTTGGAGGGAGGCAAACATTCAACCCTTAACACATACTTAATTCAGGGTCATACAGCTGGGTATATTGAAACCAGGAGGAAAAAATACCTTCTTGGATGTTTCTTATTTTTGAAAAGACTTTTATATATTCCTCAGGACACCAATATTCATTATAATCAAAATCAGAATAAGCCAATCAAAAGGTATTTCTCTAATAATCAAATACTTTTTTTGAAAGAAAAAAATATTTTATATGTACAGAATTCTTTTAGATGCCTTGCAGTAATCCTTAAGGACCTATTAGCCTCTCTTGGCTAAATAAGCTATCTATCTGTAAAAATATTAAACACAAATATTTATTCTTCAATCTTTACTGCTTACATTATTATAAATATAAAAATGACACATTAAATTTGAGGTATTTTGAAAATATGGAAAATAGTAAAGAAAAAAATGTTACCACGTAGCATATAGAGATAGCTACCTTTAAAAAATCCATATTAGCATATTCTTCCCATCCTTTTTTTCTTTTTTAAGGTGTTTCTTTTAAGTTTTTTTCCTTATTTTGAGAGAGAGAGAGAGAGAGAGCATGGGAGGGGCAGAGAGAGACAGAGAGAGAGAGAGAATCCCAACAGGCTCTTCACTGTCAGTGCTGAGCCTGATGTAGGGCTTAAAACCACATACTGTGATATCATGACCTGAGCCAAAATCAAGAGTCAGACGCTTAACCAACTGAGCCACCCAGGGGTCCCACCTCCCATCCTTTTTTAAATCAGTTTTTACATGGTTAAGATCATACTGCACAGAGTAAGATGAGGCCCAATTTATTGAGTACTCCTAAATGGCAGACAACCTGCTAAGTGCTTCACATACATTGTATCAATATCCTATGAGCCAGCTATTTTATGCCTAATATATGGAAAATATGAGGACATATGGAAAAACTGAAGATTAGTGAGTTTAAATAAGTTGCCTTGGGCCATCCAGCCAGTAAGCAGCCAAGCTGAGATTTTAGCACAAGCTTGGCCAGTATCAAAATCCATACTCTTTACCATTATGTTTATTTTCTTTGTTTACCACTATAACTAATTTTTATGTCATTAACAAATCATTGCAAATATCATGTAAAGTAAAAAGGTAAAGCTCCTGTATGATTAGGCTTATCTCGCTGAAGCCCTGCAGTCAATGAGCAATCATATTTTTCAAAAATCTTTACAAATATTAAGAGCAAGAATGGAACATCGTTGCTGTTCAAGTTAAAATGTATTGAGACTTTAAATGTTTTTATAAGCTTATCAGGCATTTGCATTTCTAAGGATTATATATTTCTCAAAAAAGTACAGTGTGAGCCAGAAATTACAAAATGACCCTTTGGAACAAATAACATTACCTCATTGATTCTGGTTATGTTGGGCAGGTACAGTAGGTAGAAGATACACACACACACACACACACACACACACACACACACACACACATATATATATATATATATGATTTGTTTAAAGTTCCTAAACATAGCTGGTTCCAAGACTTTAAGATTCTCTCCTTAAAATCTAGTTTACATCATTATTTTTACATCTAAAGAAAAATGGTAAAAGGAAAAGGTATTTACTAAGCAAAGATAAATGCTAACTAAACCCTTATTGAAAATATCACCAGATCATGGATTAATGCAGTTTTAATGCATTTCCAATACCTAGTTATTCTGATTTCCTTTCTGGCTACACTATTTTCACTGTAATCTATTTAAGAGTTGGAGCCACTGATGCATTCAGTTTGATTTATCTAGTGACAATACCTCAATTATCCTCCTGGGGAAAATTATTTTCTTGTGAGTAAATCTAATTTTGGTTTAATCTTCCAAGTAATTTTAATTAATTTTCTATATATTTTGGCAAAAGTAATTACGAAAGAAAAAGGCCATTATGACTATATTATTATGAAATATAGAGAAAATATCACATCAAAAAAGATATAAACATTTTCAGTTGGTGTTAGTGAATTATGACCTTGCAAGTTACAAGAATATGCCAGAATGTTTTAGCACTCATAAGCCACAGAAGGCTAAAGAGACATGTGGCTGATAAGATGCGAATTTTGTAATTTGAGAGTTGAGTAAATGGGTAGCAGTATCTTGCCACCTTAAATATTCTGCCTGATGTACTGGTAACATGGGCATTGGCTTAATGGCTCATTTTGTGGGAGAATTTTTAACCTTTACATCAACATTTATGTAAAATTTAGGTTGCACAGAAATATATAATCAATTTGAATTTGCTGTTTCGGATATCTGCATTTTCCTGGATTTCCTTATTAATAGCTTACTTCTCTTTCTATAGGCTTGGCTTGACATAACCAATCTGGATCATGTCTACAAAAGAAACAAACTGCATACAATTTTGCTGCAAAAGATAACAAACCCCACAAATTTTCAGTAGTGGATATCTAAGAAATGAACCTCACTGGACAAAAATTATAAGAACTACGGAAGTCTGAGTTTCTGAAATTGAAGAAGAGTTCCAGCTAGACCTTCCTATTGTGTATGTTGTGTGAACACACACAGTCGGGAATGCAGATTAGCACAATTTTCCTAGAAATTGATTTGGCAAACGTATCAAAGTCTTAATGCATAAGATATCCATCATAGTAATAATTACACATTATAAAAACATGAAGAAAAAGAAACATTATTGATGAGTAGGGGAAAGATTTATAACAATGTTCAGTAAACCAAGATCTATGTAGTATGATGTCAATGATAGTAACATATGTATAAACATGCATTTGTATGTGTGCAAGAATATATAAAGACCAAAGGTTTTTGACCGTATTCATTTTTTCAGTAGTTGAAATACTGGTGATTCTTCTTTATATTATTATGTATTTTTCTGTATTGAGCATATTGTTCATTAATAATAAGAAAAAAGTATTTAAAAGAAATACAAGGAGGTGTGCCTAGGTGCTTCAGTCTGTTGAGCTTCTGACTTTGGCTCAGGTCACGATCTCAAGGTTCATGGGTTCCAGCCCGTGTTGCGCTCTGTGCTCACAGCTCAGAGCCTGGAGCCTGTTTCAGATTCTGTGTCTCCCTCTTTCTCTGCCCTTCCCCTGTTCCCGCTCTGTCTCTCTCTCTTTCTCTCAAAAATAAACATTAAAAAAATAAAACAAAATAAAACAAATACAAGGAATAACAGTAACATTTCTTTGTTTTTCTTTCATTATCTTTTAAAAATGTAAAGTAAACCAAGGTAAGTCATTGTCATTAGAAATCATTCATTCATTCCATTGATAACTATTTTTAAGCACTTGCTACATGTCAAACATAGTTTTAGGCACTGGGGATTCTGCAGTGAAGAAAATTAAGTTCATATCTGGGAGAGGAACAAATGTTACCTTGGTCACATAATGGTGAAGTGCTATGAATGAAATCATACTCATTAATGTGCTATACTTCATAAATAGTAGAAAACACAAGTTATAAACTTGCTAGCAAAGAATATAAAAGTATCTCCTTTATTTAGTCTAAGGCATATATTTTTTCTTAATTAACTGAAGAAATTGAAATTGTTTGATTACTTACCCCAATATTAAACATCCCTGTAAAATATTCCATATTTGCTTGAATGAACCAAATGTTGCTTAAACCTAGTTCATCACTTCTCTTCTTAGCACGAATTAATGATAGTTCCTTGTTTTCTATTAACGTAACCTAGATTTCATCCAGGAAACAAAAGTACATTCAGTAACATAATTCAGACATTAGGGCAAAATATTATTACTGCATTTAAGCTTTCATGTAGAACATATTCATTGATCCTTGTCCTGTGCCAGGAAGTACACCAGATAGTGTGTTACAAAACTGAACAAGGTCCTTGATTTCTTGCACCTTATGGATGGAGTGATAGAAGAGAAACAGGCAATTACAATACAGTGATAAGTGTTTAACGAAAGACATATCATGTGTCATCACAGCACTCAGACTTGATGACTAAGGAAGGTTTCAGCCATTTAACATGGAAAATAATATAGAAGCTGAGGCCTGAACAATGAATAGAAACTAGCTGGAGCAATGAAGGAGTGTTTCAAGCAGAGAGAGAAACATGCATGAAGTGGGAAGCGAGACAGACACGGGGTGTTTGAAGAACTGAGAACATTGGTGTCTCTGGGCACGGTGCGTGGTGGTGATGCAGAGTGGGGGACAGGGTGTGGAGGGTAGAATTGAGTCTGGAGAGGTCACAGGAGCCAGATCATGTGATAAAAGAAGGTTCCGTTGCTGCAATGTGTAGTATGGATTGGTGGGGGTGAGGCAGAAGGAAGGGTAACCAGTTAGGAGTCTCTAGGAATGCAGGCCAATGAAGATTGGAAAGGATTACTGGTCTAGAGAGAGAAAAGTGGGCAGAATTAAGTCCCTTTCATCACTATCATCTCTAATTCTACCCTTATTTTGTCCTTATGCTTGTCTTCACAGAAACATCCTGGGTCCCTTTGTATAAAAAAACCTGTCAGAGTATACTTGGTTTAAGGCTTTCTGGCCATTCATTATTCTATCCAAGATTTCCCCTCTCCAGGTTCAATGTCTCTAAGTTTCCAGAACTGTTGGGAAGGGGGTAAAGACCCCATATCTCTGCCTCTGTTTCTCCAGGATTCTATTCTATGAGCTTTCTTCCTTTAACTCCAACCAAGAAAATTGTTACTTTCCTTGATAATGAAACAGACACCTGCTATTTTTTCCCAGGATTCCTTGTTCATTTTGCCTCTTATTTTCTAAGGAAGGGAAAGAATAATACCCTTCTATTCCCCATCTTTCTGTTATATGTCTTTCTGGCCAGTCTATGCTCATCTTTCCCTTCTGCAAGGAATCACTATGATTATTTTACACCTTCTAGAGAGTTCACAAGCAAAGAATCTGCCCCATTTGATTTGTATTTTTTAAAAATATAATCTATTGTTAAATTGGCTTCCATACAACACCCAGTGCTCATCCCAATAAGTGCCCTCCTCAATGCCCATCACCAATTTTCCCCTCTCCCCCACTCGCTGATTTGTATTTTTTTAAATACAGTAAATTCTAGACTTTTATGCTAAAAGATGGTCATTGTGAGGAAATGATTTCATATGGCAGAAGACTAAAAATAACAAACTTCTAACAAATAGTGGCAACCACTGCATAAACTGTGGTACATTTACTTAAAAACATACTATGTAGTCACATTTTAGTGATATTTTAATAATGATATTTGAAACTATTTGTAATAGGGAAAAACATACTGAGTGAAAGCTGGTGACTAAAATTGTTTTTGCATTTTTTAGAATCTGCAGTAAGAAGCACCCTCATGGACAATGATGATAAGAATATGGGGAGAGAAGCATTTGATGGATGAGTGTGGTAAATTTAGAGTTTATTTTTTTCTTTGACAAATTTTGTTATTGCTGTTACAATTTTGATACAATGGATAAAAATCAAGATACTGAAAGGATATGCTTAACAAGGGTCAGAAGCTAGTATTTCCAGTATAAAATTATGTTGACAATTAAACTAGTTTCATCATTCATTATTTTATTTAACCACAGAATCATTATTTCTTCTATAAATTATTTAAAAATATAACCCTTTCAGGGGCCCCTGTGTGGCTCAGTTGGTTAAGCTTCTGACTCTTGGTTTTGGCTCAGGTCATGATCTCACGGTTGGTGAGTTCGAGCCCTACGTCAGGCTCTGCTGGGCTCTGCAGCTGGGCTCTGCCTCTCCCCCACTCAGGCTGTCTCAGTCTCTTTCAAAATAAATAAATAAACTTTAAAGAAATATATAACCCTTTTATAAAAGTTAAAACTGTACTGTGGTCCTACTTTACTTTTTTAAAGATTCTTAGAAGTTTAGTTCAAAGACAAAAAAAAAAAATCTGTGCCACAGATGTGACCTGAATGAAAACTTATAAATTCAAAGGAAAGAGGTAAGACTCAGCTAACTGAATTGCATAGTTTTCCAATGTTTCCCTTTATCTGCTATTCAGATTTTTACCTGGCATGATGGCAGCATGTGAGCAAGGACAATGCCAACATGGCCCTGGAGAAGGCAGAAAAAGAAACAAGTTAACTTGGGTCCTTAATGCTTTCTTCTCATTCTGAGACAGCAGTCTTGCCAAATAAAAACATGACTCTGAATGTAATACAGTAAAGTCACATAGTCGGGGGAAGGCTAAAGAGAATAAGAGGAGAGACATAATACCCCGCCGCTGCAGAAATCCACAATTCTGTCACCGGGTTTGGCCTGACTTGTCACCACATAAACAAGGTTGTTTAACTGCTGTTGCTTCCTTAAAGCTCGATCACTGGACATTTTGCCTGGGGAAGACAAGAAGTGAAGACAATGAAATGGTAGGCATTGTGAGAGAATGAGAAGGCACTCAGAGAATGGATGGCCGGCGTCCAGGAAGAGGGGTGAATATATAAATGAGTTACAAATTCCACATAATCCATGAGGAGAGGACCAGAGACCTGGAACCCAGAAATGAAATCTCTCTATGCATATTTTTACTTTTATTCACATCCAATTTTTCTTTCGATTGTCATTGAAAAAACATCTTCTAGAGAGGAAACAATAAGTGAAATATTAATCGCAGAGTCATACACAAAGTGCTGAGTAAATGTTTACTGGATGAATAAAAGTTAACAGTCACAGTCCCTTCCCTCTATCCCTACCAGAGACATATTGCAAAGATTACCTAATTCTAGCTCATTGTTTAAATCTCCTTGGACAAAAGAGATCTATGATAAATAAAAACATTCTTACTATTTAATCAGCATGTCCTTGAACTCTTAGTTATTTTGGTGAGGATACTTGGGACATAGGTGTCACATTGTCGGAAATGTATCAATGCTTAGTGTATATAGAGAGAAATTAGATTTTACCATTTCAGCTTTGAAGCTTCCTTTCCTCATGAGTCAGACACAGAAATCTAATGCAATAGAGATTAAAGATAGGGCATTTCCAAGTATGAAATGCCTTGGCCTAACAGCATGAAAATATCTTAACTTTCCTTCAAAGCTACTAGTTAAGTCCATGAAAATAACTTCAGAAGAATGAATGAAATTATTTGTTTTTACATGTTTCAAATGCACTTTTTGTAAGAGCAAGATTAATAAAATATAGAGAGCAGATTTCATTGATATAGATAAAAGGAAAAACCCAGATAATCTTTTGGCTTGATCAAAAGTTATTTACAGATACCAAGGTTTCCCTGCTCCATTTTCACAGAAAAATAGCCTGGCTTTTTTTTCTTTTATTCTCTTTTCTGTTTTCCTTCTTTCTTATGTTACTAAAATAAAAATACTGGAAAATCTTTATTCTAGGAAAAAATAAAAAATATATGAAAAAATATCTGTATGAGAGAAAAGATCCATAATCTAATAATTCAGAGCAAATATCTTTGTATACACATACTTCCAGGTGTGTCTAGAAATTCATAATATTGAAGATAGTATATAAAACATTATAACTCTTTCCATGTCAGTGCATTTATTTCTGTACCATAAGTTTTAATGGCTGCATAGTATTTCATTGGCTATATATGCCATACTTATATAACCAATCTCCTATTGTAATAATGTGATCATCATCATACAGCTAAATCACTGTACACATTCTTAATTGTTTAGTGTGCCCTAATGTGAATTTCAAACATAAAGGGCCTTTAAGCCAATAGTCTTGTGATTTCATTTGTGAAGACAGTTTCATGTAGCTTTATTTTCATTTTTCTCTAATGATATAATTGTGAAAAATTTAAACAAAATATGTGAAAGCTCCTGTCAGCCTATCCTTCCTGGATAACCACCCCTAAAAGATTATGACAATTTTCAACACAGCATAGTTGAAAGAATCTTACAGTGACTGCCTTTATAACCACCACCTAGATTCTACCATTAACAACTTACTATATTTGGTTTAACACATTCTTTTTAAAAAATTTTTTAAAAGTTTATTTATTTTGAGAGAGAGTGTGTGAGCAGGGGAGGGGCAGAGAGAGAGAAAGAGAGAGAGAGAGAGAGAGAGAGAGAGAGAGAGAGAGAGAATCCCAAGCAGGGTCCACACTGTTAGTGCAGAGCCTGTTGAGAGGCTTGAACTCACAAACTGCAAGATCATGACCGATCTGAAATCAAGAATCCAACACCTGACCGACTGAACCACCCAGGTGCCCCTGGTTTATCACACTTCTATTCATCTATCCATCCATTCATAAATCCACTTAATTTTTTTTAATGTTTATTTATTTTTGACAGAGAGAGAGACAGCGCATGAGTGGGAGAGGGGCAGAGAAAGAGGGAGACACAGAATCCAAAGCAGGCTCCAGGCTCTGAGCTGTCAGCACAGAGCCCGACATGGAGCTTGAACTCACAGACTGCGAGATAGTGACCTGAGCCGAAGTCGGACGGTCAACCAACTGAGCCACCCAGGCGCTCCAATCCACCTAATTTTTTTTAAGTAGGTTCCACACCCAGTGTGGAGCACAACATGGGGTCTGAACCCATGATCCTGAGATCAAGACCCGAGCTGAGATCAAGAGTTAGACATTCAATCAACTGAGGCACCCAGGCACCTCTCCACCTAATTTCTTTTAGCAATGCAGTTCTAATTTGGAAGAGGGAGAGCAACAAGAGGAAGCAGGGGAGTTAGAGGGCAAAAAGGGAAAAATATTTCTGAGCCCTGTGGGAAAGCTAGTCACAAATGCTACCTTTTGAGGAAACCACCAAGAAGCATGAAATGAGCACAAACATTTTAGTCTCAGCTTTGTGGATTTCTTAACATTTCTTAGCCAAAGGATTTTTCATAAAGTCAAAAGAAATTACCTTTGTTAAGAACGAGGAGAAAAAAAAAACATTTATTTAATGGAATAACTAATTAACATCCAGTTTGGTACCATTATTTCTACTAGATGTTTAGAATTATCTAACTTTCCTAGGTTTGTTTCAAAAGCAAATGTTGATGAAGATCTGTTTTTCTTGCTGAGATTCCATCTTTGCATATAAAGAATTCATGCTGAAATGAAGTTTGAAGGCAAAGGGGTAATTTTCAGGGTTGTGTTTAAATAGACACTATTAGGGAGCCAGGGTGGCTCAGTCAAGCATCAGACTCTTGATTTTGACTCAGGTCATAATCTCAAGTTTCATGGGTTTGAGTCCCACGTTGGGTTCTGTACTGACAGTGTGAAGCCTGCTTTGGATTCTCTCTTTCCCTCTCTCTCTGCCCCCCCCCAATAAATAAATATTAAATAAATAAATAGGCACTATTAAGCTGCACATACTCTCACAGAGTGAGTTAAAAATACAGTAGCATAATGCCCAGATGCTTTATGGAAAAGCCACCTCTAACAAAGCATTCCTCCTCCCCATTCCAGTTTTGAAGCTCCTGGAAACACGAACAGGATCTCAAATACATTGAACGAGGTTAGAAAGTGGTATTTTGAGACATGGCATTAATTTAAAAATCAAATCCCACTTTCTATTTATAGCTAACATTCTTCTGCCTAAGACACCATTTATAAGCATAAATTTACAATCTATTTTTAGTTTGACTAAAAATGCTGGTTCTTTAAGTGTCATCACTGAAAAAGAAACTCAAGAATCAAATGATCAGGTGTTTTAATACAAATGATGTCATTTGTTCTGTGATGTAATTCTCCCACAGTGAAAGTCAAGTCTTTTCCTTGTCCAATTCAAGTTAGGAGGAACCTGATTATTTAGACAACTTCAGTGTTGTTTGCAGTGCCCAAAAAGAAAATACAAAGATAAAAGAGTCAATTTTAAGTGAAGGAAGAGCTTTATTGGAACACCAGTCCAAAGCATCAAATAAGGAAAATAAAATTTAAAACAATATCCTGGGTAGGAAATGTGCACATTTGTAGCCAGGATACCTGCTCAGTCTAAAATTATGCTCAAGATCATGCTGTTCTTGATTTTTTATTTCTTAGTCCAAAGCAACAAAGCATCTTAACTGTCATGACTTCCTGGTAAAAAGGAAAGCTGTTGGGCGCCTGGATACACGTTTGACTTCTTTACTAAAGATTCATTTGCTGCTTTGTTTTCAAAGTATTTTCTTTGAGTTAGAGCACACTAACTACATTCTATAAGTTTTTTAAAAATTTATCATTAAATATGAAGACAAAAAAGGCTAAAGCTAATGATGTAGGGATTTTTAAAAACATGCTTTTTGTTTGGAAAGTTATAAAATCAAAAGAGAAAATTTCTTTAACAGTCATGGATGTAGCAGAGCTATTCTATTCTAGAGAAGGCACAAGACAACCGAATAGACAAAGTGGCACTGACAGGACCTCTGGTCAGAGGAAAGGGGCAACTGCAAATTTTACTGTTTTGGGGGAGGCTTTAAGACAAGCGATGAATGGTCACTTATGTTGTACAGGGCCCTAGACAGTGAAACCCAGGTCCTAGCCCCAGGGTATCCTATGGTTTTCATGCTTGGAATAGTCACTTAGGCACCTACTATGCTCAGCACCTGTCTGTATCCTGAGGACGTATCTCAGAGTGACTAAGACATAGTCCCTGTCCTTAGGGAACAGTATCTAAAAAGAAGGGATAGGTGTTCATTATGTGCAAATACATGTGCACTGAAAATAAAGGACTATAAAAAGGACTATATAAGGAAAATAAATGTATGTGCATTGAAAATAATTGAGACTTCACAGAGGGCCTTACAGACACTTGGGGCTGAGTCTTTAAGGGGGAACAGAAACTCACCAGATAGGATGGCAAGGAAAGCATGCTAAGAACGATATGGCATATTTAGGGGAAAACCTCAATTAGCTCATGCGCTTAAAAATGAGGATCAATGAAAAAGTGGCAGAACGTAAGTAGATCTGAAATTACAGGCAGGACCAGATGGGAAAGAGCATTGCTTGTTATTTTGCCTGTCTGTGCTGTAGAGAAAACATGATCTCACTTTAATATTTAATGTGCTTAGAGCTCCTTAGAGACAAGTTCTACTCGAATAGACAGACTGCTATTTTTACATTGTTATATATTAAAGATGGTCTCTTATAATGCTAGCCTGCATCATTTTTATTCAGGATAGAGTATATCCTCAAATCAGATCGTATTATTAATAAAATTCTCTGAAGCATTCAACCTCAACTAATGCTAGTTGTCTTTAAGTAACTTAATTAAGAAAATGAAATAGAATTAACTCATTGAAACTCACTGACTCATTTTGAACCCTGGTGTTCTAGATCAAGAAAGCACTTGGACTCCTTATAGGATTCTCCTTCTCCCTCTCCTTCCCAGGCTTCCTTCCCTTGGCATTGCTCTGAAATGTTATGCTCATTAGGTCCTAT